CCAGCCCCTACATCAGGTACGGCCGGGCCCAGCGGCCCCCGGGGGCCGCTCGGAGGGGCCGCGCTCCGGGGAGCGGGGCCCGGGTTATGTAAGGAGCGGGATCCGCGGCGTGTGAGGACGAAGGAGTCAGGGAAGGCCGGCGGGGAAGTCTGCGGACCCTGGGTGCGCCTCGGCCCGGAGCTGGCCCGAGCGCTCAGGGAGGGTGTGGAGTGTCCCTCTCCAGAGCCATTCAAACCTCAGCTGGACGCGATCCTGTGTCGCCTGCTCCAGGTGACCCTGCCTTGGCAGAGGAGCAGGAACGGGTGATCTCCGGAGGTCCCTTCCAACACCAGCTACTCTGTGATCCTGTGGGAGCAGCTGCTGGGCCACCTCCTTCCCTCCTTCCCTCCTTCCCTCCTTCCCTCCTTCCCTCCTTCCCTGCCTCCGGCCGGTGCCGCCCGGCCCCTCTGCAGGAGCCGTCGTGTTCTCGGCATCACACCGCTGCTTTTTCCAGCTCTGAGGGGCTGCCACCCACCAGGGGAAAAAATCCCCCCTCAAACAACTTTATTGCTGCCAAGAGCCTGATGTGAACAAGTAACCTCGAAAGGATGATCTGTGAGGATGGTGAGGGAGGTGTCCGGCCGAGGGGCAGCATCCCAGGGGCATTGTGAGGTGCTGCTGGGCTGTGTGTGTCCCTCGGCCGCACCGAGTCAGCACTTCAGCATCATTTCTTTTCTCCTTAATGCCTTTTAGCAAGACAGGGCTCCAGGTGGTGGTCATGGGTTCTGAAGTACATTGGCTTCTAAATTAAGAAATAAAAATACAGGTTTGTCTCCCCATCACTTGTGCACACCCCCCCTCCCATCCAAGAACATCACTTGGAAATTGCCAGAGGCACAAAGCCTGGCTGTGCCAGGATCGCTGGCAGCTCTTGGCAGGGGTGTCACCAGCATGTGCAGTCAGAACTGTGCCACTTGACAGCGAGTGCTGGGGAGGACGAGCTGCATTAGCACAGTCATGGTTTCCGAGGTGCCTGGGAAGCAGCTGCTCCTGGGCTGTGTGTGCAGGGAAACCCAGGTCATGGAAATCCTGCTGACACCAGTTTGACCCCATCACACTCAATGCTGACAAGTCCAGTGACATCAGGTGAAAATAATATACCCTCCGTGAGATGTTATGGTACATATCTGCATGCCAGAGAGGGTAAACAAAACGTACAAGTGGTTAATTTCAAAGGGTTTTTAAGTCCACTCATTTGCAGGTAATAAAGGCATTTGTTTTGTCTTCATGTGTAAAGTAGGGGCAGACCTTCAGTACCATTTAAACACAAGATTAGCATAAATCCAGTAGCAGACTTTTTGTACTGTTTGGACATTTCTTCCAGCTGCTGCTTCCTGTGAAGTTGTCATAAAATTTGCATTTTTTGCTAGGTGAGGATAGGGATTCCTTATGCTACAGTCAGAAAAATGCATCCTTCTGCAGTGTCACATCATCTGCTTTTAGGCAATATGGTACTTTGGGTAACTGTTGTTGTACAACTTCAACATTCTCAAGTACAAAAATAAACTAAAAATAAATAGAATATGAAGCTGGTAAATAACTTTTAAATAGCAGTGATCATGGACAGACTTAAGTAAACAGTTCTCTGCAGTGATTGAGCTAGCAGAACTGAGATATGAAATAAAATGCACTGAGAAGGAAAATCAAGAATTTGCAAACAGGACATGGTGGAGCCTATGTACTACTAATAATTTTTTGTTGCTACTTGTCTTGAGAAGCAGGTTTGGAAGACTGTGGTGAAAGAAATCAAAGATATGAAATAGAAATGAGCCATTGATTCATACTCTTCAAAATGCCTGAATGCTTTTTAGGTCATTTGCCATCATATTTTAGATGACCATATGCCTGACATTGAGTTTCAGAAGAATTGCTGTAGGTGGTAAGAGGTCATGTCCTTGGAAAAACTGCTGCTCAACTGTTACAGCAGGATGAGTTTACAGAAAATGTCAATTTTTTTTCTGTGAAAAAAACCGCTTAACTAAAAGATACTGTAGATTATCCTATGAAGAAGTGCCTTTTCACAGAATTTCATTTTAAATTTTGCATTTTGTTAATCTCTGAAAAACATACTGGGGAAACATGGGTTAATTGTGTGTGTGAGGAATAAGAGCTCCAGACACAACTACATTAGCAACAAAACTTGTAGTCATTAGAGTTGTGGTTTTTTTAAACTCAGAATTGTTCAGGTTCAAATCTCATGAAGGAACTCATTAACTATGTGTGAAAGTAGGTTACATGCATTAATATATAAATATGATTAAGTGTGGGGTTGTTTTTTTTTTTTTGTTAAGCTTACTCATGTCTTCTCCTCAGGCTTTCAAGATGTAAAGAACCAAAAATACGTATACCTAATTCTTATATGGCACATTAGGAAACACACTTGTATTACCTAACTTTGCAGAGCCTAATTGTCACTTGCTGCCTGTCTTTCTTCTTTTTATCACTCCAGGATCTCTCTCTTAGTCCAGCTGGTCTTCACATTGGGTAGAATTGGTGAGGTATGTTGCCAGTGTTGGAGCATTGTGTTTTCAGCCAAGGGTAATGTTTCAGTGGCTCTTTTTGGAGATTAAATTAATCTCCACCTCATATCTAGTCTGTGCAAGTCCCATTTATTTTGAGTGCTGGTTTTTAAAAGCAAATCAGTTTAGGCCTCTATGTAAACAGTTATTGCAGGAGACACAAGAATTTTCTGCCTCTGTATTTTAAGGGTAGCTGATTCCAAAGCTTTGGTACCACAGGCTGTTACAGTCTCCAAATGCCAATTGATTCAGATTGTTCTCATTTGAAAAATTCCAATATAAAGCTCGGAAAAATCCATTAAGTAATTTCAGAAGTAAAACTTGGAATAAAACTTGAAGTGAAGCAGTGGAAGTATGAGTTGATGTGGTGTTTTCAGTGTCTGGCTGTGTCATTATGTGCTGTGGCTGTGGGCAAGTTGGTGGGCGAGTTCAGAAACTGTAGGGTTTGCATGAATGCCTAGTTTAGGGTGTGAGTAGGAAAATAAGTAGGCATGAACTTTGTGAGGGGGTGGTTGGGTGTGAGCAGAGTCTGTGTGTGCTGAAGGATTTGTGCAGCCACAGAGAGAGGAGCGTTACCTGTTTTTTAGTTTTGCATGGAAGCTGTTTGGCTGACTGGTTATGAGTAGGACACTTGTAAATTACAGTGATGTGTTTTCCCACTAGTTATTTGGCAACTGGATTACCCATGCAGCTCAAAGATAGCAGCTTCGGTGGGGAGAGGAAAAAAGGCATGAAGGGCACAAAAACATATTGGAAGTGTTATTGGTGTCATGGGTCCCACCTGCCTGTCTGACCCATAGGGTGCCTTCTGCAAATACAGAAAAATAAAAATGGCCATTTTCATTTTCAGATTTTACAGTGGGACCAGTAAGAAGTTTAATTTTTCTGGTAGTCTGATCCTTGAGATCTTGGCTCAACTGCTTAATGCCAAATGGTTTTGTAGCTCTCTCAGGGCAGTGAGATCTGAGGTGGTTGTGTGAATTCCTACAGAATTCCCATATATGTACAGGTTTATCTAATCCCTCTGTGTGCCCCTGGAGCAAATCCTGCCATTTACAAAGCACAGGAGTCTCCCTGCATATCTCTAACATCTTGTGGTATGTTCCTGAGCCTGAGAAAAGGAGGCTTCCTCAGGAGGAAACCGCCACAGGACAAAGCGTGGTTTGGCTCAAGGTGATGTTGCTGTGCATCCCAGAGCAGTTATATTCAAGCCAGGTTAGCTCTTGGCTTTCTCTTCTGTAACAAATCAGCCATAAACCTGCACTTTTTTTTGGTAGCACTCTTTGTCCTGGCAATTGCCTTAGTGTAGATCCATTGCCCTGGTTTAATTTATTTAGTTTGAGAGCCTGGTGTAAATGACAGTGGTGTAAGAGCAAACCCGAACAAACCATGCTTGCACTAGTAAGTTTGGCCTGAGTTGTGGCATCAATCTGCCAACCTTTTATAGGATAGATTTGGTCCAAGCATTCCTGGTATCCTCAGCAGTAGCAGCAGATGTTCCCATCTGAACAGATCTGTCACTGTCTGGCATGAGTCGTTCCTGGCCAGCTGAAACTTGCAACTCTTTCTATTTTGTTCACTTACTGTCTGCGTGCCTGGATCACAGGGAGCATGTGGGAGCTACCTGAACAAAGAGGATATTTAAACCCACATTCTTACACAAATTTAATGTTACACGGAGCTTGTGCTGCTGCATTACAAATTGAATTAAGACATTTTTGTCACCTCAGCAAGTTTTGTCTTTGATTTTCACGCATCTGCGTGAGCAGATTACAGATGCCTGTGTGTTCTATACTGTTCCCCAAGGCTTTTCAAACTCCATTAATGGACCAGTAATCATACTTAAATCTTTTTTTCAGATGAGCAAAATATAACTAAGAAAGAATGTAAATGTAAGGTTAAGTTCATATTATTTTTATGTACTTAGAAATAGCTGTACTGCTTGTAAATGTGTTCTGGTCAGAAATAACCTGACAGCATTTGCATCTTCTCACTTGACCTGTTCAACCTTCTGACATCCCTAAAACACTGCAGACCTTGTAAGACCCTGCCACGGCCAATGCTGAAATAGATTTCCATGGAAATTTCGGGGGATGTGCCCCCCGTTTCTGACCTCCTGCCCCTTCCTCTGTGTGCTGGCACTTGGAGCATTTGCAGTTGGCACGAGGGGAGCCTGCTGAGACTGCATCCTTGTGTGTGTCTGGGAGCATCCACGAGTGCTGGTGTGGGAGGTGGGATGGGATGTTCCTCCTGCACCCTGGAGGTGCAACTGGGCACTTCTTGTTACACCTGTTGGACAATGAATATTGTAGAACAAGGTCAAGTAGGAGCCAGGAGCTTCTGCTGCTTATTTCCTGGTACCTATTTGGTTTTTACTGACATTTATAGATATCTTTTATAGTGTTTTAAAACTTTTCTTCAGTTTGGGATGACTATTGAAGTCAGGAACACATGGCAG